ACAATATGACATCGTGAAAATGCATTCTTCATTATGTAAATCATGAGCATACGTATCACTTAATTCGTCAAAGTGACGAATTAAAGTCTAGTTATAATTATTATCATATCATTATTATCATCTGTATTATCAGCATAATCTACAATGGCAGTAGAGTAGTATAGTACATGTAGAGTTAGGCCTTATAGTAGAGGTATCATTCTGATCATTATTATTCTGATTATCTTTTGCAAAACGTCTAGACGATAAACTCATGACAATTGACAATTGTCATGAATCATTGTCTTTAAGTTTACCATTAAATGCATCTGGTTCGAGTTTTGCTCAGGTATTTGGTACTGGATGATTTAAAAGGTAGAAATTAACTTGTGTCCTATTCATTCTAGTCTTATTCATTTGCGTTATGTTTTATTCATTCAAGTTCTAATGTTTCTGACTGTTTTCAAGACATCATAGTTCTATGTAGCTTGATATCTCACGGTAATTTTGAGAGAAAAGCAATGCAAGCAATGATTTCTGAATTGTAGCGACAATTGCGTTCGCCTTTGCTGTTCTTCAATAATATTTGACAAGCAGTATTAATTAATTTTTCAATGACTCATGATAAATTCGTTTAACAATTGATTACCCTCTGTTGATTCTTTTGTTCGGATTTTTTTGCGGGGAAAATAGAAGTGAATGTATCATTATTCTTATTTGTTCATCGTCTCTACGATGCTCTTTGAATCAAAAACAGCTTTTAGTGTTAGGCTTCCTGAAAGAAATTTCAATTGTTGTTAAGATTTTTTTGCTTGCACTCTGTAGATTATGATGATGTGTTTGATCTTTTTTTCAATACAAGATCAAACACATGATGAAAATCTACTGGCTGCATGCCAATAAGTTCTTGACAACAATAACAAAACGTGAGCTAGTGCTATTCGGTTTGACGTACACATGGCAATCACATGGTAGATACAATTATGATCATCAGTACTGGGTCAAATAAATTAAAGAGAACTGAATTTGAACCCGGGCCATAGGATATCCCCTCTCGTTCTCTCTCCCTCTCTCTCCCTCTTCGTCGCCTTACTTTTCCCTCTTTTAACTCCCTGTGCATTTGTATGCCTCGATAATACAGAAAATAAACAATAAGATTCTCCCTCTTCCTAGTACATGTAGTAGGAGTAGTATTAGAAGCAGTATCACAATAATAATGACAACAATTATTATTATGGTTGGTGGTGTTACTAATGTTATTTTTGTAATTATCAGGTGGGCTGTATATCGTAAAGACCACCTTATAATTTCGTTATTGCCTTTGTTTATTTATTTATTTATTATCAGGTGGGCTGTAGATCGTACAGACCACCTTATAATTTAGTTAGATTTGCCTTTATTATCAGGTGGGCTGTATCTTATACAGACCACCTTATAATTTTGTTAAAATCGCCTTTATTATTCTTTATTGTTAGGTGGGCTGTATATCGCACAGACCACCTTATAATTTCGTTAGAATTGCCTTTATTATTTATTTATTCATCAGGTGGGATGTATATCGTACAGACCATCATATAATTTCGTTAGAATTACCTTTATTTATTTATCAGGTGGGCTGTATATCGTACAGACCACCTTATAATTTTGTTAGAATTGCCTTTATTTATTTATCAGGTGGGCTGTATCTAATACAGACCTCCTTATAATTTTGTTAAAATTGCCTTTATTATTAGGTGGGCTGTATTTAATACAGACCACCTTATAATTTTGTTAAAATTGCCTTTATTATCAGGTGGGCTGTATATCGTACAGACCACTTATAATTTCGTTAGAATTGCCTTTATTATTTATTTTACTTATTTCAAACCACTTTTTTGTAAGCACGATTACTTGAAAATGGCTCAATCAAATGCCTTCAAATTTGGCACACATATATGTATAGGCATTTATGTACAAAACACAATAACGTTTTCAACTATGACCTTCACTGATGACGTCATCTAGGCGCCATTTTGTAAATTTTTCTGAAAATCAACTCATGATCATATCTTCATAACCAAAGCCATTTTTGATTCATATTTTTCATGATCGAGGTCAATATTCGTCCGGTCAATTTCAGGTCAAAAAACGCGCGCGTGCGCGTACGTCCACGCGTCAGTGCGCGTGCAAAATATTAAAATGCTCAAAATAGTCTCAAAATAATTGTACATACGTTTTAGGCCATTTTAAGCATTTTATAAAAAAAATCTCGCACACGCGCATGCGCGCGTTTTTTTCGCGCGTTCTGGCATTTTGCAACAAAGAATCGCCAATTTTTCTTTGTCATCATATTTGGCACATTTTCCCAAGCATTTTGATACCTTGTTCACATATTTCTGACCATTAATAACGGAGTGAGCGTCCGTTTAAGATACACGTCCGTGCGAGCTCTTGTAATACATAGCATATATGGGAAAAAACATGCCTATACAAAATCTATTGTAACTCTTTAGGATGCAAGGTGACCCCAATTTTGTTTTCATATTTTGATAGATTATGAATTGGAGTAATGATTTCATGTCTCATGTGACCCTCAATTAACGCATGACATCTTCATAATGGCCTCTGAACTCAAAATTCCATATAATTTGCATATTATGACGTCAGCATATTTATGGAAAATTGATTGTATCTCTGTAAGTATTGATCGATTTTCTTCCAAATTTTCATATGTTCTAGCTGAGACAATTGTCTACAAATGCGGTTTCTATTATTTTTCATTTTGACAAAGGCATTATGGCGGATTTTTGCGATTAAAAGAGGCATATCAATTTTTCAAATTTTACGTGTATTCTCTATAGGACATGAGTTTTTCTCAAAACTGGATTCTACATTCCCGTCTTTCGCGAGCAATATCTCTGTCGTTTTAGCTTCGTTTACGCTGAACTTCGAGTATGTTGTAGCTGAGACAATGAGCTATCTCAAATGTGCCCTTTATTTTGTCTCAAATTTTAGTTCGACCAGTCCACCTATACTTGTTCCAAACAAGTATTACAAATTTAGTTATTCTTTCTTATTTCTAACAACTTTTTTGTAAGCACGATGGCTTGAAAATGGCTCAATCAAATGCCTTCAAATTTGGCACACATATGTATAGGCATATGTACAAAGCACAATAACGTTTTCAACATTGACCTTGACTGATGACGTCATCTAGGCGCCATTTTGTAAATTTTTTGGAAAATCAACTCATGATCATATCTTCATAACCAAAAGTTTTTTCTCATTCATATTTATCATGATTAAAGGTATTACAAAGTTTTGGTATGGGATCATGAATTTGGTTCAAATTAACATATTGGAAGCATATGCGTTCCTACAATATTCATTGATCGTTGTCGCCATTGAAATCGAGTCTAAAGTTATGAAATTATAAATAATAAACTCTTTATGTATATAGCTCCCTCTCAAGGTCAAGATTTTAATTTAGCTATGAAACAATGTTTCTTGACTAAAATCGACCGATTAGCTAATCCCATTTGGAAATTATATATCACAATTACATATTCTGATATTTTCATGGTCGCAGCTCCCATTGCACGGCCATAGGCGCTATTTTAACTTTGTCAAAATTTACCGGGAGCACCGGTAAACTTTTATATTCAATTTTTCTCGAAAACAGAAGTGTTTTAGGGGCTAATTTTTTTAGTGCTTATAATACATCCACAGGGGCATCCAAATATATCAAAATTGTAAATATTCACTATCCACCCAATTTTCAAAATTTCCCAAAACTTTGTATTACCTTTAAGGTCAATATCCATCCGGTCAATTTAAGGTAAAAAAAAATGCGCGCGTACGCGTACGTCCGCGCGTCAGCGCGCGCACAAAATTTTAAAAATGCTCAAAAAAACTCAAAATCATATAGCATACGTTTTAGGCCATTTACAGCATATTATAAAAAATCTCGCAAACGCGCATGCGCGCGCGTTTTCGCGCGTCCTGACATTTTGCAAAACAGAATCGCCAAATTTTCTTCGTCATCATATTTAGCACATTTTTTTCAAGCATTTTGATACCTTGTTCACCTTTTCCTGACCATTAATAACGGAGTGAGGGTCCGTTTAAGATACATGTCAGTGCGTGCGAGCTCTTGTAATACATAGCATATAAGGGAAAAAATCATGCCCATACAAAATCCATGATATGTTCTAGCTGGGACAATCTTCTACGAATGCAGCGTTCACAATTTTTCATTTTGACAAAAGCATCATGGCGTATTTTTTTCGATTAAAGGAGGAATATCAATTTTTCACTTTTTGCGTGTATTCTCTATGGGACATGACTTTTTTTCAAAACTGGACTCTACATTCCCGTCTTTCGCGAGCAATATCTCCGTCGTTTTAGCTTCGTTTACGCTGAACTTCGAGTATGTTGTAGCTGAGACAATAAGCTATCTTAAATTTGCCCTTTATTTTGTCTCAAATTTTAGTTAGACCAGCCCACCTATTCTTGTTCAAAACAAGTATTACAAATCTAGTTATTATTATTATCATCAACAATGTCACCGGAGCAAGTGTCGCTTCAGGCGGAGCAAATGTCGGCGGAGCAATTGTCGGCGGAGCAACTGTCGTTCGAGGAGCATTTGTCACCGGAGCAATTGTCGCGTTTTGCGGAGCAATTGTCGGCGGAGCAATTGTCGGCGGAGCAAATGTCGGCGGAGCAATTGTCGGCGGAGCAATTGTCGGCGGAGCAAATGTCGGCGGAGCAAATGTCGGCGGAGCATATGTTGGTGGAGCAAATGTCGGCGGAGCAATTGTCGGCGGAGCAAATGTCGCGGAGCCATTGTCGCGTTTTGCGGAGTAAATGTCGGCGGAGCAATCGTCGGCGGAGCATGTGTCGGGTTACCATTTAAAGCCAATATACTCTTGACGACTGCCCCCCCCCCCCCTTCCCAATTCGATTTGTGTAAAGTAAATTTGATAATAGAGAGAAAAGTGATGATAACGATAATGATAACAATGATGATAACGATTTTTTTTTTTTAAATCTGTTTCTGTCAGGACAATACAAATTATACATTTATTCCCATGGCCAATGGAGAGACTTTTCGCCCAGACCTGTCTCTTTAGGTGGCCATAATTATATAACCCTTGTCAATGTTTAGATCAAACAGAGGTTCAACTCACCCGATTTTGTTCTCGACAGAGTATTCATATATATTTTTACCCTAAAAATACAATTTCACACTTGACTGATTTGATATAAATGACAGAGATTATTGCCACGTACAAGAATCTGTAGACTCATTTCACAAAAACTTGCACTGTATTCGTTCAGGCATATAGAAGCGCTATAAACTGTAAGTCAACAGCAAGGCAGCGACGTGTACAAACCTCAATAAGCAATTGAATATTGGGCAAAAGGCGTTAAAAGTAGCAAGGATAAACGAAAAGAGAGTTATATTTATACGTTTTGGAAGGTGAATGTGATCATTTATCAGTGAATTGGGTAAGTACACTATCGTGCCACTATTTGTGCACACTTCTGTTCCAAACACTTAAACGTGTAGACAAGTTTCATATAGGTTGATCAAAATAATGTTAAATATACTTGATTACGTGGTGTTCTACTTTGGAGGTTGATATAGCATGCCTTCTCTTTGAGCATTTGACGTATACATGCTGTTAAAGTGACTCGGTAACATTGTTGAAGGTTGATGAAAAAAATTGCTTAATTTTTGTATAAAATGTTACTTATTATATTCCTTCTACTATACTAACCCTCTGACATGCAAAAAAAATTCCTGAACAAATTCTCAAACCACAAAGATATCTATAGTTTTCTTTGAAGGCGTCGATGTGAGGCACCCTCTAACAGTGAATAACAGTAAATTCTCCCAACCATTTTTGAATTTTCCCAACCGTTTTTCCGTGAGAAAAATACATAAAACAGGCTATAAAAATCTGTCAACACTTAACTGTCCTGGAATGAAATGTAGAGCCATTTTATTGCTTTGTGACGATTTACATTCACCTAAAATGTAATTAAATTGTCCTTGTCTTGATGCTGAAGAGGCTTTGACAAGTAGCAGAATAGAAGTAGAATAATATAGTTGGGAGAATTAAGGAATCGATCAGATCAGTTTTTCCCAATTTATACCATGAATAATGATCCGTTTTCACTCAAACTTTCAGATTATCTTTAATTGTACATCTAGCATTGACGTCACTACCTTAGTACCGCTATCTTTCATCTGAACAATGTTACAAAGTCCCTTTAATCTATTGACAAAGCTGAAACAAAAAGTGTTCATGGTCCATTGAAATGTCAATTTGTGCAGTTTAATATAGGTTATGTTGATGATCAACTGTAATTTATTATGTAGGGTTTATTTATTTTTGGGAAGTAAAATAACCATTTCAGGTTTTTATTTTTTCATAATGATATAAACATATTCACATTTTCAGCATTTGCCTCCATTTCTGGAGGGATATACATGGTTTTATAATATTTTCTTCTATCTGTAAACGATAATTTAATAGGTAAATCAAAATATGAAGAAGTCTCTCTTTTGGTCTTTTCTTTTTAAGTTCTTTTCCAACAAAGCTTTTGTATATAGTAAAAAGTGCATAATTCAAAATAATATCAACACTTTTTTCCTTCTTTGAATTAAAATCAATACCAAACAATACATGACATGGTTTCAAATTAAAATTAGACATGAAATATTTCTTTATATCCCTTTAAACTTCACTCCAAAACTTAATGACTTCGTTACAAATAAAGGAACATGTGCATAAAATCACCTGTTTGATTACAATATAATAAAATTGCTCAGTGGCATTTACCTTCCATTTAAACAAATTATATGGTACTGCATTTTCGGTTTAACTTAATAAAATTTGGATTGGACTTTAAAAGATTATTATTATTATGAATTTGAAATTTAAATTAATTAGTAAGCTGTCTTTTATACCTTTTAACTTAAATAACCAATTCAGGTACATATTCAATTTCCAAAGTATTACGGCAAAATTCCTCTGCTCTAGATTCTTCGATTTTAGTTTTAATCAACTCATGATATATTCTTTTAACTGTCAACTGTCTAACTGAAATCATATCCTCAACCAATTTTATATCATTATATACAAACGCTGTGGATCTAAATGTTATATACTCTCTATGTTCTACATTCATATCTGCAAGTACGAACACATATGTTAAATAATTGTCTCGCACTGCCTCACGGTTATATTGGGAGCATGTGATTGTATTCGATGAAGGCTTGCAGAGCAATTCTTGGACTATAATTATCTTTTCTACGCCCAGCTTTAAACCTTAATTCTCTTCGGGTGCTTAATCAATTGTGCGTTATGTTTAATGTTGGTTAAACTTCATGCGTCATGTTGTGGTGTGCACAGTACAAGCTTCTTATATACGTATCTTACATAATTAAGTTTTGTTTAGTAGTATTTTAGTGTATTTTGTATACTTTTTTAAAAACTTTTGTTTTTTGTTTTCGTTTTTTTGTTTTGTTGAAATGGTACAACAATTTCCATGCGTTCGCTGTAGTAAATGTGTTAAAGCAAATCAGAAAGCACTTCTCTGTACTTCTTGCCGAAACTGGGTACACATATCATGTTCAGAAATCTCTGTAAAGAGTTACGATGACCCTAACGAGCATTTTGTAAATTTGGAGTGTTCAAGAAGTCTTTTAAACCATCTTCCAAATTATATTGTGAATAATTCAGAGTCCGACGTCGACAATTCTAATAACATAGATCCCTCATGTAAATCTGGTGAGAACATATCTTTAAAATATGATCAACTTTCTAGTAAAGGGATTAAATTTGTCCACCTGAATATTGTAAGTCTTTTGAAATATCATGAAGAAATCAAGCAAATCATGTTTGAAAATGAAATACAAGTTCTTGCTCTGAATGAGACTAGATTAGACAGCTCTATTGCAGACAGTGAAATGTACACTGTTGGTCATAATGGTGGAATATTTATTTTTACCCCAGTTTAGGGAAGGATTTTTAAAAATTATTTATTTCTAATAGATCTAGATAATGGCATACATTCTCAGATTTTATTGAATATTAATTTGCGAGTGTTTGTTTTGCGTGACTGCTTAATCATATGTGTGCTACTATGCTAATCAGCTAAGGGACCTACGTCCTTAAGTCATAATTGACAGTAATGAGGATTAATGCCTCACAAAAAGGCACTAATATATAGCTGATCGACACGATTTTTATCCTGGGGCCTCACAGTAACGAGGCAATTGCTTAGCCTCTGTATCATGACTGTACGCAGTGTTTGCTAGGGTACGCGGCCCCTTCCACAAATCCCCCAAAAGGAAGAAAATGCAATAAATTGTCCAAAATTTATTGCATTTTCCCCCGGCCCCCAACAGGAAAAATTCCTCTGTAGGGCCATGCGTTATGGTTCAAGGCATGGCCACACAGAGGAATTTTTCTGTTGGGGGCCGGGGGAAAATGCAATAAATTTTTGACAATTTATTGCATTTTCTTCGTTTTGGGGAATTTGTGGAAGAGGCCGCGTACCCTAGCAAACACTGCGTACAGTCATGATTCAAGGGCTAAGCAATGGCCTCGTTACTGTGAGGCCCCAGGATAAAAATCGTGTCGATCAGCTATATTAGTGCCCTTTTGTGAGGCATTAATCCTCATTACTGTCAATTATGATTTAAGGACGTAAGTTCCCTAGCTGATTAGCATAATAGCACACATATGATTTAGCAGTCACGCAAAACAAACACTCGCAAATTAATATTCAATAAAATCTGAGAATGTATGCCATTATCTAGATCTATTAGAAATAAATAATTTTTAAAATCCTTCCCTAAACTGGGGTAAAAATAAATATTCCACCATTATGACCAACAGTGTACATACCCCATTACTCATTACTTCGTAAAGATAGGGATAGAAATGGGGGTGGAGTGGCCATTTATGTCCATGAGTCTATTCATATCAACTTAGTCATGATTCTCTTGAACGTTTAGAAGCATTGTGCATAAAAGTTTGTTTGAAGAACACGAAGCCAATTATTTTTGTAAACTGGTATAGACCACCAAATTCAAAAGTCGAGGTCTTTAATCACTATGAGGACTTTTTGGTTTTTGCAAATGGTCTCAATGGGCAACTCATTATTATGGGTGACATTAACTGTGATATCACGAAAAAACCTTTTGAAGGATATACGTAAGTCTATAATCAAATAAATTATATATATTGTTTGAAACAGGTAAATGATACATTGTATACAAGAGTAACCGATAGATCCTGCATACTTGTTTACCATATGTTAACGGATTATCCCGATAAGGTGGAATCGTTTGGTGTTATTAAAAATGGTATGAGTGACCATTATATCAGTTACTTGGTGTGGAAATGTAAACATACTTCCCAAAGTGAAACATTTGTATCGTTCAGAAAGTCGAGAAATGTAGATTTAGAAGCTTTCAGGTCTGATTTGCGTGATCAAAACTGGAAGAAAGTAAAAGAGTTTAGTGATATAAATGATGCAGTTAGTGAATGGGAAAAGTTGCTGTTGGAAGTAGTTAACAAGCATATGCCATTAAAGACAAGACGAGTAACAAAAAACCCTCCCCATGGATGAATAGTGAAATACTTACTTTAATGAAACAAAGAAAAACTGAAAGCCAAGAAGAGAAACAGTGATGACTTATGGAAACTGTATAAACGCATGCAAAATAAAGTTACCACCGAGATAAGAAAATCCAAACGTAAACACATATGTGATAAACTGTCTGAAGTCACCAATAGAAATGAATCTTGGACAACACTCAAAAGTTTAATGGGTAATTGTAATTCTTCTAACAGCACTTTTCCAAAGAAAATTCAAGTGTAATAGCGAATGAGTTTAATAACCACTTTGCAGATATAGCGACAAATGTATGCACAAATAACACAAGGGCTAATAACCGGCTTTATTCCCATGGTGAAAAGGTTTCTGACAGAAAATTTAAATTTTTTAATGTTTCTCAATCTTATGTCTTGAAACAAGTAATGTCAATGAAAACAAAAAAGTCCGTCGGGTTAGACGAAATTTCTATGTATATTCTTAAAGAGTCAATATCTGAAATGATTGAATCTTTTACGTTTTTAATCAACAAATCTTTATGGGAAGGGGTTGTGCCTGACAAATGGAAAGTCGCAAAAGTAATACCAATACACAAAAAAGGAGATAAACTTGATTTCAATAATTATAGGCCGATCTCACTGTTGCCTTGCGCCTTTAAAGTTATGGAAAGAGTCGTTCAGTGACAATTGCTGGATTATTTAAAGTGTCAACACTCCACCGTGACAGCACTAGCCGCAGTCACAGATGATTGGTTTTACTCTATCGATAAAGGTAATTACATTGGAACAATTTTTGTAGACTTGCAAAAAGCATTTGATATGGTTAATCACCTAATCCTTGTATCTAAACTTGAATCTATGGGTGAAATTGGTGTAGAATTACAGTGGTTCAAACACTATTCATCAAACAGAAGAACAAGAACTTCGGTAAATAATGTCCTTTCTGATGAAAGATTAACTACGAAAGGTGTGCCGCAGACTATAATCACCTTGTTGTTGTACCTCTTTATGTATGTTTATATGATGTTTGTTTTGTTTGTTTGTTTGTTTATTTGTTTCTTTGTTTGTTTGTTTTTTGTTTTTTGTTTTTTCCTTTAAGTATTTGTATTAAGTTTTCGACTGATACTTTGTAATTATTTATTTAGTTAATTTGTAATATTATGTATATTTTGTATATTGTACACTGGCCCCATGGAAGACCAGCAGCAACAATTATAGTTGCAGCTGAATATGGGCAACCAGCCGTATATTTGTATCTGATTTTTTTATTATACGGAAATAAAAACAACAACAACAACATTCCCAAGTAAGAAGAAGAGGACGAAGAAGAAGAAGAATGGAAACATTAATAGCACCCACACCACGGTTACAGCATGCCTACCCTTCCTACCAGTTCCCATTTTTATTTAACACCTGGGAGGAAGAGAGCCAAATGAAATACAATGTCTTACTACAGATCTAGAGTACATAGATGTACTTTAGGCCACTTAAGAACAATAATAAGTTTCATGTGCCCCCCTCTATTTCTCTTTCTTTCTGTCTCTCCATTTCTAGTTGACATTGCGGTACAATGGGAGTAAGTAGGGAGTATCTGATCTTCAGTGTAGCGACGATTGCTTCCGCTACCTTTGTGATTCTTACCATATATTCGGGAATGGAAAAACATGAAAAAGGTAGATATTATGTCTATTTTTCTCTTTTAATCATAATTTTGATTTTATTTAAAGGAGAGGGGGCTTGGGTAATACCTCAGTCACATCTCCAGACCGACTCAACACTGATCTATGTTGGCCTTTATGGATAATGTAATGCTTTTTTTTTCGGGCTGTTACCGGTCTGATGTCGGTCTCAGTGGTATGACTAGGGTAGATCAGGCCCCCTCTTAAATTTTTAAAAATGCGATTTATTCTAATTAATCGCAAGTCCGCCAATCAATCGCAAGTTGGCAGTCTCTCATCTCGTATGTGCATAGTTGCTATTGATGTCAATCGCAAATACGATTAATCGCAACTGTTCATAAGACAGGGCCTAAATAGAAGCCCCTACTACATAGTCAACACGTCCCTATGTCCACGAAGTGACGGATGAGCGCGCAATTAAAAGAAAGTTAGTTTCGAATAAATCGCTTTTTGAAACCATAATCTCAACCTCTTTATTGTATCAAGGGCAAATAAAATAATTTTATATCCTGGGATAGAACATATCTCAATATTTAGTTCTGTGTTTAATTATTTCCATATTTTCTTATACAGTGCGTCCCAGAAAAAACGAAACCGAAAAGTATCGATGTTTTATCATAACTTAATCACAACCATAATTAATGAATGATACATAATTATTTGGAAAGCTTAGAGTCTCCTCTTTCAGTTGATGCTACTCCGATGATGCATATTTCACGCATGAGGGATTAAAAGCAATTTGATGGAAGGAAACTAAAAAGACATTTGGCGGGCGGTATCTGAATTTCGAAGTAAAATTCACATTTCTAGAAAGTTGAGTTTCTGCCCTTTCATATGACACCTCAATCAGGAAAAATGAGCGAGGAATAACAAAGTTCTGTTTCTTTAAATTAGCCCTTACATTTTCATAATTTTAACAAACGAATTCGTTTTCACTGGGTGCCTGCCGTAGCAAAAAGCAGATTTGACAAAAGACTTAACTCCGTTTCGTTGACAATCAGCCATGCAAGAAGACTTTCGTCTACGGCTGATTGTCAACGAAACGGAGTTAAGTCTTTTGTTAATTTCGTTTATTGATACGGCAGGCAGCCAGTGAAAACGAATTCGTTTAATAAAATTATGGAAATGCAAGCACTTCTTTAAACAAACAGAACTTTGTCATTCGTCGCTCATTTTTTTTCAATTATAGTTGTGATTAAGTTAAAGGTATTACACAGTTTTGGTAAATTTTGAAAATTGGCTGGATAGTGATTCTTTACAATTTTTATATATTTGGATGCCCCTATGGATGTATTATACGCACTAAAAATTTAAGCCCCTAAAACTCTACTGCTTTCGAGAAAAATTGAATATAAACATTTACCGGTGCTCCCGGTAAATGTTGATAAATTTGAAATAGCGCCTACGGCCAGACGATGGTAGCTGCGACCATAAAAATCTCAGAATATGCAGATCTGGGCCCCGTCTTACAAAGAGTTGATATCAATCGTAAGTTATTTGCGATTGATATCAATCGTAACTATGTACATAAGAGATAGGAGACTGCAAACTTGCGATTGATTGGAGGACTTACGATTGATTTGGATCGATCGTAACTCTTTGTAAGACGGGGCCCTGATATATATATTCCAAACAGTAATAGCAAATCGGTCGATTTTATTCAAATCACATTGTTTTATAGGTTGGTTGGTTGGTTCTTCGTTTAGATGGCGCTCTTCAATCTCAAAGATTATTTGCGCCAGTCAATTTCGTGTATAGCTTTGGCGTGGGCTTCGGAAATCAAGCCCACGAGCGACTTTCCTTGGTGAAATGAAATTAATAGTGATATGGTTTTATAAAAAAAAATTAAAAAAAAATTAAAAAAAAAAGGTGCAATATTAAAATTGCATAAAATGCACATAAAAGGCGAGATGGGAGTTAGTTGCAATTGTTCATGGAAAAACCGCAAATACTTCATTTTATATATTATTACAGGATCGACATAAGTTAAGGGGATCCCTGATAGCTTTAAAAGCTATCTAAAACGATTAGTATCGTATATGTAACCCAATAATTCACGAGTAAAAATTGGGTTAGACATCAATAATTGTTTCAGATTGGGGTTGTTTAATTTAATCCTTTCTTTATAGCTAAATTATAGCTAAATTAATATGTTGACCTTGAGAGGGCGCTATACAACATAAATAGTTTATTATTTACAATTTCATCACTTTAGACTCGATTTCAACCGCGACAACGATCAATGAATATTGTAGGATTGCATAATGCTTCCAATATGTTTATTTGAACCAAATTCATTACCCCATACCAAAACTTTGTATTACCTTTAAGTTATGATAGAACATCGATAGAAGACGACTCACATTACCATTCTCGACTTCTTAATCCTTGTCTGAATTCAGTCCCCCCCCCCCCCCCTCCCCCTGCCTCCTCCTGGGCGAAGCGCGGAAGCTTTGACGTATTATTAGACAAAGACGATTCGCTGTACCCCAGTTCCTCTCTCTCTCTCTTTTTTTTGGCCGGCGTTTTTTTGGGGGGCGACCGCCCCCACCGCCCCCCTGGCTACGCGCCTGTTAGGAAGATAACGTTACCACTATTAGACTACGGCAATGTATTATAAGAATGAAGGGCCACCACCAACCCTAGCAGAATTGTTATAACTTTCTTCTGTCCTTCAATCAGAGCGATAATCCTTCCGTCTGTGGACCACGCTGTTGAGGTTTTTTCATAGGCGATGTTGGCTGTTTTATTGGCATTTTCGTGTTGGTTTTATTATACGCACAACCAGCCGGCCCATGTATTGTCATTTTTAATTAAATAATTAATTAACGGTCACCGTATTTTGTTTAAAGTGGAGCTGAATTGGTATGATTATTTTGGGGTCTAAAGTTACCTTCATAGCAATTTTAGGTTCTAAAAGGGCATTAGAAATGTCATAGATAAGAATAAGAGCGTTAACCATGCACTTTGAAGGCATTTGCGGTCTGAAAACAGAACTCAACTATCCCTTTAAGTGATGCACAGATAAAATAACCCGGAACTGCGAGATAGAGTACATTTTCCTCTTTCTGTAGCTGCTTTATTATTCCCCTGTTTGAACTTTTACATAGCTTGGCTACATCGTTTAGATTAGTTTTATTTTGTTTCCTATTTCATCATATATATATATATATATATATAATAATAACAAATTCAATTTGGATAATCCTTCGTCACCCTCATTTTACAAATAATAATTAAAACGAGGGGGATTTTTCATTAGTGATCAAAATACTTTGAACAGCTGAATGAAGGATTAAACTTTCTGCCAAAGTAATGGGATTATTTAGAAAATTAGTAATAACAAATGTGGATATGTTGCCTTGCATTCCTCCGCCATTCTACACGCGAAATTAACACTAGAGTTTTGGTGTAGCTCATAGACCAAAATGATAATTAGAGTGTCTAAATCATTTAGAGATTGTGCGAGTTTTCTCATATTGGCTAGATGTAAAAAGTGATTTTAAAAAAACACGTATTTATTTTCTTTAACCATGTACAGATCGAGTTTTACAACCAAGAATCACAATGTCACAACGGTCCAACGATCACTTTCTGCAGAACTGTCCGGCAACCCAGGTATAAGAATGCTCAGGAGCAGGCGCGTACGCAGGGGTGGGGGTGTTTTGGGAGTTGAACCCCACCTCAATTTTTGTTATGTATGTGTTTTTTAGAACCCCCCCCCCCTTCAAAAAAAAAAAATGAATACATTTTTTGTGGGTGCTAAAGGGTGACAAAAAAAACTGAGCTTAACCCCCCCCCCCCCCCCTACAAAACGAAATATCGGTAGGCATAATTTTCCAATTCCCCCTCCCTTATTCAGCGGCTGGCTGAGTCCTTCGAAATTTTCGGCGCGATTTTCAAATTTTAAAAGCCCCTCCTCAAAAAAATCCGGCGTACGTTACTGCTTAGAATTATGACAAGGCCACCCAAAGATAGGTCAAGCCGGGGCAAGTGGGTGAGGGGGATAGGGTGCTGCAGTCCACGAGAATTATAACAACATTTAATCATCACACTGTGGGCACCAAGATGACGTTTTTTCCTTTCTATTTTCATTAGTGGTAGAATTTAAGATGCGTGAAGTATTTATCATCAGGTCATCACTTTCTAGTCTTTAATTTCTTCCCGTAATAAACATCACGGCTCTTATATGTTCTTTCACGTGAATCTAGATCGAATTGAAGCTAGATCTACATTATTAAGACTGATCGCGCCAACAATCTGAAAGTAAGAATGAAGGATTATAAAGAAGCAATGTACCTAGTCGTGTGTATTCTCTCAAAGTTGGGAATTCTTTCCTTCTCATTCTTTATTTCCCTCTCTCTCTCTTTCTCCCACAAACATGTATACTGCACACACGCACGCATTCTCTCTTTCTCTCCCATCACCGCTCTCTGTCTTACTCTTTTGCCCCTCTTTTTCTCTCTCTATATAAATATTTTAATTCCTCCACCCCCCACCTCCCTCCCCCATTCCCCTTCTCTCTCTTGTTTGTCTCTCGCTCTCTCTCTCTATCTCTCTTTCTCTCTATCACACTAACGCACACACACATACACACACTCGTACACACATAATCTCTCCCTCTCTCTCTCTCTCTCTCTCTCTCTATCTCTGTCTACCCTACTCTCATTTCCCCGTCCATAATGCTTTCTCAATTCTAATGTGTTCTTTTTTTCTTGTATCTTTTCCATGTCGTATACAACACGGACTTGTGGACCGCTACAGGCTTTGCGTCGACACACCCAACGTCATGGTTGTTCCTCCCTCGGCTTCTGTGACAAAGAAACCTACAAGCTGAACAAAATAATTACAAATCCGAGCTACCTTCGGAATATCTACGTCTCCGAAAGATACCGAACCATCATCTGTCTCATTCCGAAAGCAACCAGCATGAACTGGGTGAGAACTCTAATGATACTAGAGGGCGCGATCAACTCGACGAATGGCTTGGCGCCGCAAGAAATAGTACATGCAGCCAAGAAGCATCTCCGCGTGCTAGGCCAGTATAAACTTGACAAGAGGCTTGGTATATTACGGAATTACTCGTCGGCGATCTTCGTGCGCAATCCGTATTCCCGTCTTCTGTCCGCTTTCCGTGACAGACTGGAGAAGTACCCCAATCGGAATCTGTCACATCGTAAATGGTTTAACAAAAATATCTATTTGAAGTTCGGGAACCATTCTCCCGCAGAGATGCCGGATCGGTCGATGCCAAGCGAGAAATACAACGTCACTTTCAAAGAATTCGTGGACTTTTACCTGAGTGTAAAAAAAACTCAGGACGTGCACTGGCGAGAACAATACAAAGTCTGCCCACCATGTTTCGATTACGATTATATCGGCAACGTCGAAACGTACGCAGACGATTTTAAGCAAACCGTTCAGATATTTGATGCCACTTCGAAAGTGCCACTTGTGAAAGCGCCACATGCGACCAATAGTTCTGAGGATGGCGTCTTGCGGAGGTATTATGGAACACTGTCGGATCTTCAAATGAAGAAGCTTGAAAAGCTGTTGAGTTCGGATATGAAATTGTTCGGTTATTCGATTCCTCGAGCAATTCAAAGAAATTCATTTTAAGCCTCGTTCACATGCACAAAACGCGGCAAAACCGCGGCAGAATTTTAACCACGTTAATGATGACGTAGAGTAATGCACTTCACGTTGCTGTATCTTATGACACAGCTAGAGCTCGGTCAATACGCGCAGGATCTTCGTGGCACACAGTTTAATTAATTTAAATTTAAATTTAATCGTATTTCGTTTCCAGTGGTTCACCGCGGCATATCTGAACAAGCCTTCAATGTCAGTGTTGATACCTTCCAATTAAAGTATCATTACACATGTTAAGCATGATGTATTACTCCATATCCTTAAAAAAATATTTTAAACAAATCATAGATATATAATAATGGTATAAGGGACATTATAGATGCTATGTTATTGGACCTAATTATGTTCATGACCAATGATTAGATAAGAAAGTCTAGATCAAACGGAAATATATATGTTTGCCAAAAAAAAAAAAAAAAAAATCGAAATTGTATTGTCGAAAAATACATGTCAATATAACGAGTACAAAAAAAAAGCAATTGTATTTCCCCTTTTCTTCATTATTATGGCTATCGCTGTTACACATGTTTTTCCTTTCAAAAAGTATATACAACATTATGCTATTAAAGCTCCGGAGTCTTATCTCAAAGGAGAATGACAGCCCACGAGACCGCCACAGCCGGTCTCGTTTTAAGGAAGGTTAAGGTTTGGGATCAGGTATAGTAATGGGTCTACGATTGAAGCTAGAAATTCGAGCTCACTTTGATCCATCAGATCTCCGCGTCGGATTTGGTCGTTAGGTTCACTTTCGTTAAAACATACCCCTATATTCACGAAAGGTCTGGTAAATTGAGAGCAAATAATCAAAACGATTCTAAAGATGATTCTTTTATTAGATGTCACTCTAAATGTACATTTGTGAAAACATGCCGATACACCCAGAAAATGACGAAGTACCGATCGCTCGCCTTTTTTAACGAAATCCTATGATCATTTATCGCGTCTCGCGGTGAACGAAATATTGTGACGAGAATAAACGAAGACAGCAGTATGGTCAGCTTTCAAACGTGTGCGCTATCAGCCATCAAATCGGAAATATCGTCAATCAAATTTACTGCTATGTTTAAACATATCAATGATAAAAATATGTCGTCAATTTGTCACGAATTATCATCTAATTAAATGACCAAGATGAAAAGGTTCGCAGTTTGTGATTCAAGAGTAACCCACTGTCGCTCAGAAGATGTGTCAAATATTCTGATACGATAGTGGTACTACTCCACATCCCCGAGATTTAAATGAACTGAGAAGAGAAATAAATATAACTTGCATTGTGATCTTTAATATTCATTTGAGTTTAATTGAATTGAATTGAATTTATTATTCTTCTGCAAGATTAAATTAACAATTCAGCAATATAACATATTTACTACACACATTTATCTACTGCTTTGTCCTTTTTATTTATGTGGTAATGTAGAAATTTCTTTATTTGATTGTTAACCAAAGTATTTAGAGATACCATACGTGTGAAAGTTTTAAACATGTAGTCAGGGACCGCATCACTAAAAAGGTCTTGTTGGGACTAGGATACATTCACTGAGTTCATGTAGTTTTCTCCAATTTTAATACTTGTTTACTTTTTATATCATGAATCAGACGCCGAATATGTTTTAATTGTATGTTGGAAAATACTTTTTATTTTCAGGTAAATTCTATGTACATTATAGTTAGTAAGACGAGAAGTGGATGAATATGTAAGACCTTGGTCAAGAGAGAGGGTGGATAATGAGAGATGATAATGCTGAAGGTGTCAGTAAGAGGAAGGTCAGGAGGTTCCGAGTTTAGGAGAGAATTGTAGTGAATCTACTGTAATTTCGAGGAATGTACAATTAAAATCACATGTGATTAAAGATAAACTTTAGTACTGGTATTAATGCGATTGCATTGTGAAAGAAAAGGTGTGGAAAGGATCAGAAACAGTTGATCGTGTAGCATGTAAGTATTGGTGTGCACTGCAAGGTTCTGGAGTCATCAAAATCAAAATAAATTTGACCGAGTCTTGGTAAAGTAACAAGCACTGTACACAGAAAGCTGTATGTGGGACAACACACATGGTGTCGGGGCTAGTACTACCTTAATTTCCTTGTCTTTCTATGCTCATTACTCAGCCAGTAAACATTTTCTTTCAAAATTGTTTGGCGCATGTCATTTATTTGTAATCTTGAACATTCAGTGTAAGTTTCGTTTGATTCTGTGAGATTTTTTTTTTTTTTTTTTTTTTTAAACCAAAACTGGAGTTTATCTTTAAGTATTAACTTTGAAATTGGGAAGTTCCTATAGCCATGAGTGTATTATATAAATGTATGAAGATTGAAAGTTTTCTACACTTTGTGGCCCGAATTCACAAAGGAGGTTTGTCGACAAACCTCCTTTTGTTTTTTACAAACCAGGTTTGTAAAAAAACGCGTCAAAACGCGTCATATGACGTACATAAACCTCGGTTTGTCGACAAACCTCCTTGGTGAATTCGGGCCTGAGTGGCTAACGGTGATAATGTATAGTTCGACTATCGCACACTTGCTGCACACAGACAATGGGTTTTGCTCCGTGAGTGTGAGTTTGCTCACGCATGTATAAAAAGTTTTACTCTTTAAATAGACAATTGAGTTATGTTTAATGAGATGTATATAGCAGTAGAATAATTAAAGGAATTATGTAACAATATGAGAGGTATTTGTCATAATATTAAGTGATTATAGTACATGTAATTGAGTGTGAGATGTTATAAAGTGATTTAGTAATAGCCTACAGGGTGCACAGTGAAGCACATTATTGAATGTTGCTCGGCATGGTTTTGTTTCGTTGTTTATTTAGTGGATGGTGACTAGTCTAGGTGTCAGACCTTACTTGGTCAGAACCAGTTCATGAGTATACATCAAATTATATGGTTTTGATATTTACAACTATGTAATACAATAATATCATCAATAGAGATATGTTTTGGGTTGGGTTATATAGTAGAGGATGGATTAGTGCAGGTAGCATTGGCCAAATGACCATACTAAATGATTGATATGTATGTCTTAAATCTCTAGGGGGTCTGCAGTATTAGAGACCTGTGTTCACTAGCAATTGGCAGCACCTTAATTATTGAGTAGTTGAGCTGGATCACAGCCGAGGATACTCCAGGTATGAGTTAGTCTTTTATGTGAATATGTTGTTAAAAGACAAAGGTTATATTGGTAGTTTTGTTTTATGTAAGCAAAAGCTTAAGTAGCTAATTATCATCTGTATATGAATGTCAATAGACCCATGTAGTATTTAATTATTTTGTATGGTTACTCACGATACTAGGAGTATGAGTCATCGCTAGTAGTCACATTATTATTCTTTCCATTGTGGATTCATTAATTACCCTTGTTGAAGATGCAAATTGTCGTTCTGTGATTAAATTATAGGGGAAGATGTATTCTATAGTAGTCGTAGTTATAAGAGAAGTATATCCGGAATATCGATTATGTCACTTACTAACTATACACTGTATGATGGTTCTTCATAATAATCACATTATCAGTTATTCAAGTTCAGGATACATTGTAATAATTGAGTATTTTATCTGAAACGACTTTAAAGACTTGTGTTTCTGTGGAAACACACAATACATTTTAGTTGTTGTTCATTGTAGTTACAGTTATATTGCCGAAATTAGTACCTGCAAACAATAAGGATAATTGTATTTTGTTTCAAAGAGTTCACATAGTTCCAGAAGAGTGACTGTATAGAATGGCAAGGTGTGAGACTATGTCTAACAGTGGTTGTTGTTCAGTTTAAACCTTAGTTGGGTGAGTCAGTCAGAATGGCCAAGTTATGTTGATTGTTTGTTTTAAGGAATAAACAGTTGGATTCATTTAATTGGATTGATGTTAACGAATAGTGATAGAAGAGTCATATGTTCATGTGTTTCTATAATAAGATAACAGACTTTTAAAGGATTAAAACAGTTGGATTCATTTAATTGGATTGATGTTAACAAATAGTGATACAAGAGTCATATGTTCATATGTGTTTCTATAATAAGATAACAGATGATGATGTACATGTATATTATAATCAGTGATCTAATATTGATGCATCGCCTTGAAGTGCTTGAAGATGACCGTGGCCTCTGCCGAGTTAACAAAATAAAAAAACAACCCATGCAACTGCATTGTATTCAATGTTAAATAAGAGATAAGTGAAGTGATTAAAAGTGAGCATGGCTGAATTAATTTTGATTGAAAATAACAAAACATATTTAGTGAAATATTTCGTGCTGAGAAGTGCTTGGTGGAACAAAAAGAGACTAATACCGTGATATTAATTGTGTGTTGGTTTAAGTTACGGGTGTTAATAATAAATGTATGCAGGGTCCATTCCTGTTGACAAACTAAGACAGAACAATTCAGGACATAACAAATTAGATAATTTAAATTTCTATGTAAGGTCTAGTAAACTCGAAACTGAAAGAACAGATTATTAAACAAGTCTCCTCATTTAACTACTTCGGCAGCATGATCACCGAGGATGCCAGATGTGAGACAGAGATCAAGAGAAGGATAGCTCTCGCTAAATTTACATTTTCAAAGCTAGGCAAAATTCTGACAAATCGAACAATGAGTATGAGGACCAGAATAAGATTATTGAATTGTTACATCTACCCAGTACTTATGTATGGTAGTGAAACATGGACTTCAGCCTCTGATACTAATAAAAGCGTTTGGAAAGTTGCAAAATTTGGTTTTTAAGAAGAATGATGAAAATCCCCTGGACTGACAAAGTTAGTAATGAGGAAGTTCTTGCACGAGCTGGAGTGCAAAAGAAACTGATACGTGAGATGTTGATTAGGCAGTTGAAGTTCATGGGTCACATTACACGTAAAGAAGGCCTAGAGAATCTTGCTTTGACAGGGAAAATTGTGGAAAGAAGGAGCAGGGGAAAAAGGAGGATACTTTGGATGGACAGTCTGCAGAAATTGTTGGAAGAGAGAGGAGTGAAAAAGAACTGGGAGTGGTACTAATACAGAAGGCTAGGAACAGAGGGTTGTGGAACAGCATGATCGCCAAAGTCAATCGATATGGCACTTAGAGAGAGAGAGAGAGTAAACTATAAACTGAGTTAACAAAAATTCATGTGTGATGTGATGTATTAAGCCTACGGCAATATAGGCCCGTCTGCGCATATTTTGTTTACACAACTGTTAAGCCATTTTCGCGAAAAAATTCCAAGAAGTTCTCTGGTGAAAGAGTCTAGGTCGTCAGCGCACTATTATGTGGAAGCACGTACACCCATGGAAGGGAATATGATAGAAAGGGGAAAACAAGGATAGTGGAAAGGATTTGGAGAAGGAAAAACAAGGAAATACATAAGGAAAGAGAAGAGGATAAGTCAAAGGAAGAACATAGAAATACAAAATTGAAGAGCTAAGAGGATCATAGATCTATACTAAGGAAAAACAGGCAAATACATAAAGAAGGAGAAAGGGAAT